GAATTCACAGCATGTACGATGTTGAAACTTATTCAACTGTTAAAACACAGCTTTGACTTAAACTTTCAATTTGATTCATTTGTTCATTTAAACAAAGTTCAACTCATTTTATCAAAAGAACTGACCTTTGATATCAGGAACTATAAAGTCAACACACGTTATTGTTTAACAGAGGGTTGGGCTGAGAGTGCACATTGTTTTATTACAGCCTACTTTCTTTGAGCTGTGGGGATGGTTTTAAGCAGTTCAACGGGTATGTAGATTTTTACCATATAAGCTACACTGTAATCCTTTCCTTCTTTATTTATTTTGATTATTTACTTACTTTACTTACTAAATTATCTAGCAGGTGTTTATAATACATAAAATCTGATTAATCACATAAGCATTTACAGTTACCAGAGGCACAAAGAGTGTGTAAGCGGAAACATTTTTTGTAGTGAAGGAGTGAAAGTAACATAATTATTATTTCTGGATACTTGTGTATTCATAAATATTTAGAATGTGTAATTTTAATTACATGCTGTTATTGGTAGCTACTTGGAGAGTTTGCAATTTGAAACAAAATCTATATCTTCTATCAGCATTAAATAGACAGTAAGTCTATTAATTGCAAACAAGACAATAGAAACCATGACCTATGCACAGACACAGCTTACTGGAGGAGGACCTCATGGATATACTGAACTCAATGTTACTTGTGTCTCTTGTCTCTCTACTTTCATCGCTCTGTTAATTTGATCTCTTTATAAGCAGTTACTGGTAAGAGTACATGTGGCAACCAGAAAATGTGAAAAAGGCACAGTACAACAGCCAATGTTTTCTCACTGTTTATCAACAAAAACATACTTTTGTGAAAATTTTCACAGACCTTTGATTTAGTAAAAAGTGCTTTTGTTATTTTGCTTGTAGTATAATGACTTCACAAAGATGAGTAACTGGGCTGTGTCCAGATGACATGGTAGCTCTCATCAAGAACTAAGAAAAAAAAGTCAACAATTCCCAGTTTGTCTTTCAATTGAATGTCCAGATTTTCTGCAATGTTCTTGATCTCTGTTGTTACTGAGGAATGTGGAAAGGAGCACATTTCCAAATGATTAAAAATAAATTTAACATAATTAAATACTTTTTTCAAATGTGATATTACCATGACAGTCTACAAATCAGTCTTTCACTGTTTCATTTTTTTCTATCAGAGAATGGCTTAATATAAAAAGGTGTGTGT